TAATGCTTCTGTTTGTTCCATGCTGTTTTCTTATTTCTTGAATATACTCTATATGCATCAAATAAATGTGTTGATGATTTTAATCCTACAAAGAATACAACTGTTTGATTTTTTATACTTTCACATTTATTATCAAATTCTGGATTTGAAATACCTGGTGCTTTTAATTCATTCCAAAATTGTGAACTTGGTTTAATTTTAATATTAACTAATGCTGTAATAGATGATTTATCTATATTTGTAATTTGAATTGATTCATCTGTTAATTTTAATTTTGTATACATTCCTTTTTGTACAGGACATGGTGGATCAGATGAATCAATTGATAAACATTTATTATCATGAACACCTGAATTAGCTTCAAGTATTCCATCTGTATAATTAAAGTATTTAATAAGGTCACCTGTTTCTTCTTGATCTAATGCTTTAATAACGTTATAGTTCATTCTGTTTATTTTGATTTATTAGTTCAATCTTTTATTTCATTTATGAAGTTTGGTAATTGGAAAAGATTCAAAGAAGGATTAAAGAAATTAGCAGCTGCATTAGCAGTTGGTGCTAAATTAGGTGGAAATATGATAGAAAAAGCAAAACCATTAATAGATACTGCAGTTGATTTTATTCCAGGTGGAAATATTATTAAAAAAGGAACAGAAATAATGAATAAATTAGCAGAACCCACAAGTGAAGCATTGAATAGAATAGCATCAGGTGAAAATGTTATTGGTACAACTAAAAGATATTTAAATGAAATAAAAAATGAAATACCAAATGATATTACTAACACAGTAAGTAATATTATCAATCAAATACCTGAAAGAAAATCAATAAAAAGAAAAAGAAAACCATTATTATTTGCTAATAGACTTAATAATGAAGAAGTGAATGATAATATAATAGATGAAATAGATGAAGAAGATGAAGTAGATGATTATCTATAAATAACTAATTAATATCATTTGGTTATTATGAGATTTGGGTTCTTAAAGAAACTAAAGAATGGACTTAAAAGTGTTGGAAAGAAAATAGCAGGAATAGGAGGTAAATTATATAAAACAACAAGTACAGTAGTATCTAAAATACTACCAATATCAAAAACAATAACATCAATAATACCTGGTGGACAAATGATTGAAATGGTACTTGATAGACTCCCTAAATGGTATGAAACAAATGGAAAAACACTTACAGAAATAAGTGAAGGAAAGAAAATAAAAGATGTTATTAAAAATTATGGAAAAACACTTTATAATGATGTTATTTTAAATAAAGATAATACAAATCATTATAATTTATCATCATTATCTCCTTTTGAACAACAAAAATTAACAAAATAAAGAAAAAGAAGAATCAATTAGACTTAATTGAGCTGTCTTTAAAATTTAATTGTTCTTTTAAATTCACTCAGTGATGATATTTTAAAATCTCGCTCAATAGAAAAGTGAGCACCGTACTTGGCTAGGTCAATTATAAGCGGATTACCCGCATAAAGATATTCATATAAGGCGACCATATCCCCATTAAACTTTTCATTAGCAGTACCAATAATGGCACTCTTAGGGATTCCTTTCATACGGATTAAATAATCCTGGTCGCCATCCTCATTAATGAGGACATCCAAATAGGATTTCTTCCCAAGGAAGATTGATTTTATTGACCAAGACGGTTTCCCTTTCACAAGAGGGAAGTCTGAGTGAAATTGACCTAGTTCAGACCCAACTAGGTCTCTACCATACTTTGATACATAAAGCTCTTCAAGTCGTGGTAGATCCTTCTTCTTTATATGAATACTATCAGTGTCTTGATAGTAAACATCAATGTCCATATCTTCACATAAATAAATTAATTCGTTCATTATCCTCTTGGACATGGAGAGAATAAGAACACCAATAATGTTGGGAACAAAAAAGTCATCTAATTGTTTCTTTACGTCAACCATCCAAACGTCTGAATCATAAAGTTGTTCCCCAACAATGACATCTTCTAAGTGGCGTCTCCAAAATGATGTCATTTTATTTCTTCCTCTGAAGAATTTCTTTTCTTCCTTAATTGGTTTTTGGATGGTTTTTCCATAGGAAGAATTCATTACCAGTTTAAATATAATTTCAGCTGGATCATTTACTTGTTTCATTTCTTTCCTTATTCTATATATTTCTTTTATTTTCTCTTTAAATAATCCAACTTTACTTCCTTTCCAATATATCCCCTGTACCACCTTAAATTCTATTTCTTGATATTTAATTAAATCTTGTAGATAAATTGAATCTACAATCATGGTGGTTTCTTCATTTACATAATGATTTATACCTTTTATCTTTTTAATGATAATAGGCATTTTTCTTTTCTTATTTATCTTTGTTATTACAATGGTTACAATAAAATAAGAAATAAATTTTGTTTCAGAGGGTTCAAATTGTTGTTCATCCATAAGGTGTTCAAGATACCATTCAATTGGATGAAACATTTGATTTGGCGCTCCCATTGGCAAATATAAACGTGCAATGGCAGATGGATATAAACTACAAGCGTCAAAATCAACAATTTCATCAGTGATATAATGTTTTTTATTTTCACTGGTCATATTTCTTCCCCCATATACTGCTTGTTTAATATATTCTCGAACAACCCCTGTATATTCAAATATTGCGTCTTTAACAAAACAATTGTTAACAAAAAATGCGTATGCCATTGAACTAAGAGAGGCATAACAGACGCAATCAAGGTGGAGATGAGTTTGAACCATTTGTCGATATTTTAAAAAGCCTTCTCTAAGTACAAGAACATCTCGAAGGCAATAATACTCACAATATTTTCTTGAATTAAAATGAGTATTATCAATTCGACAATTACTTTTAACTAGAAGTTCCTTAAATTTCTTTCTAGTATTTTCACTCCACACTGGTTGTTCATTATTTCCACATTCATTAATTACTCCTATTTCCATAGTTTCTTCATTATAATAATTATATGGAAATATTTCTTTTTCATACTCACCATTAAGTTTAAAGAATTCTTTAAAATTACCAATTGAAGTTGGTATTAATGAGAGTGTATCTTTAAAGATAATTTTCTTACCTTTATATTTTACAACCATTTTATAAATCATTTTTCCTCTCATAATAATATTAATAATACCAAACTTGGCGAGAAATCTTCCATCATACCCCAAATTGTGGAAATAACATATTGGTGTTTCCATGGTACTTATATATTCAATAAAATCTTTTGCACAATGTAATCCATAGAAACTTTTCCATAAACCATTTTCATCCATTACAATAATACAAAATGGTTTATGATTTTCACCACTTACCAAGCATTCAAAGTCAGCAAATAATAATGTATTTGTGACATCTTTTTTCTTTATTTCCCCTACTATTCTTGATTCTGATTTTGCTAATTCATCAGAAAATGAATTAAATAAGAAAGAGTCATAATATTTTCTTTTTAATAAATTATCTCTTCTTATTTCTTTAAATGCATTTCTCTCATGTAATAATTTAATACATTTATATGCAGGAATATATCTTGTGAGAGAATGTTTATATTGCCCGCTTTCTTTCTTAACAACATTAAAATATTTATTAATATCTTCGTTGTTTTCTTCTGTATATTTTAATATTTCATCATAATGTGTAATGAAATATCCTGTCACTTCTACTACATCATCAATAATATAATGATTATTATTTTTCCAACGTAGTAAGAATAAATTAACTCTACGTTTTCCATAAGTGACACGCGAGCTTTCAATTTTATCCCCTTTATAATATCGAAGAGTAATGTCTAGTTTAAACTCTTCAGCTATTTGATGAAGTGTTTTCTTGGTGACTGAAATCCCCTTTACAATTGTTCTTAAATGGGTCATTTCTGTTGTTGTAAGTACACCAGAATATTGCAACGCATTAATGAAACAATTTTCTATTGTTGCAACTTCATCTAGAACATATATTTGATATTTTTTTAATATATGTTTTAATGGTTTCCAATGTTCATCAAGATAATAATTGAACATTGCTCCATCAATTCGTTGGCGTTGTGGAGGTTTAACTATTGATATGATGATTTCTTTTACTATTTTTCCTGGTGGAATATTTAATTCACTTTCTTCATCATCATATCTCCTCCAAAATTCTTCTATACCAACATTAAACCCCACACATCTATTAATGAATTCTTGTGGTTCGACATTTTCTAAATTAATAATAAATCGTCGTTGTCGACCACCAAATACAAACTCAACTAGGGGGATTAAGTCATGTTGTTTAATTAATTGACTTATTCTATAGGTTTCCCCTAGCATACCACCCCATACCTGCGCAGTATATTCTAGCCCAAAATCTCTTCTTCTAATAATACTGAATTCTATTTCTTCATCAGTATTATTTTCTCTTGCCAGACGGATTAGATGCAATTCATTTTCTGTAGGTTCTATTCTATCTAGAGTGAGGAAATCTAATGTAACATATTCCTCTTCATTGAGTATTTCCTCTAGAATAGCTTGAACCTCTGCATCAGATAATGTATCATCCGCTGGTTGGGCTATAATAGGTGGGGCATAAGGGGTTTCTTGAGAGGGGTCAGAGGGGGCATTTTGAGGAGGGACAAAAGAGGAGTCTAATTGGGGATCTTCTATTAAAGAAGTAGTACCAACACTAGCTCCGCTAACTACTCTATTATCAGCAGTACCACCAATAATAGAAGTAGTTCCGTACTCTCCAATAGTGCGGGTATTTCTTCTTTTTCTTTCAAGAGAGGCAATAGCTTCTTCACGTCTTTGACGATATTTTTCTAAGTCAAGACGTCCAGTCTCCCTCTCTCGAAGAAAATCGTTAATTAAACGATTTTCACTGGCTTCTCTACGTTGTCGAACACGATCCCCGATCGTTTCGAAGCCAGAAGATCTATGAGAGTCAGTTTCTTTTCTTTCCAACTCTTCATAGTCTTTCTTTTGCATTGTAATTCGTCGTCTTTGGCGTCGACGACGATTTTCTTCATAATTATTAATTTTAATATCATTATTTCTGAATGACATTGATTGAATGGTTGTTTAAGATAAAAAATATATAAAAATTAAATTCAAAAAGTTGAATACATCAAAGAAAATGAAATACAAAAAGTGTAATACTTCAAAATACGAAAAGAATACCTCAAAAGAATGTACCCAGATGTCAAAAAAAGATGAATTCCATATTCTAAATATAAATATAAATATTGTTATATAAAACATAATCTATTTATATATAAAAGTGTTATATAAAACATAAAACATAGAAATGTTATATATCCCAAAAGGACCAAAATTTCCCACTACGTACTACATGATGCTATCACACTATCGTCAAATTGTACCATAAAAAAATTATTATAAAAAGAAAAAAATAAAATAAATTCTAATTTAAGAAAATTAAAAAAATTAAAATAAAAAAATTAATTATATTATATTAAATAAAAAAAAAATAAGAAATAATAGATATATCCACAATTGGATTTTATGAATATTGAGAAGTGATTGTTTCAGTTTCTTCAATATGCTCTATTTCTACAATAGAGTTCACTTCTAACATATGAGAATTAGAAGTTCCTCTTCTAATGTGTTGCCAGTGTTAAATATGTAAAATATTAAATATTTCATGTTTTTAATAATGATTATTCGTAGTATTTTGGGGAAGTCAATTTGTAATTTTAGTGTTTTTAATCTTATTACTGATTCTTTATGTATCAACCCATTGATTGTTAATATCATACGTATTATTTCTACATAAATTATTTTTCTATTTTGTCTTAACTTCTCTTGTAGTTCTTTATATTTATTTATTTTGTAAATA